CCAAACCAGAGTTAAAAATCTGTGATCTAGGAAGAGGTGTGTTATTCAAAGAAACCATTTTTACCACTCTTCCTAAAGACTGAACCAATTAAATACCAGTGTTACGACCCTGGGTTCTCCAGTGGAAACCAGAGGTCAAAATTGAGCTATTAGACTTCCTAGTAGTACAGTTGGCGCATTTGGAATGGCAATTGTTTGTATCTTCCCTGCCAGACGTAAGACTATTATTGTTTCTCAAAGAGCATTTAAAGACTGAGCTGGGGGTTGATTATTAAATAATAACATAGGCACCAACTTTGCTTACTAATACTTTCTAATCATTCATAAAGTAACAATACGTTGCATAGGGGAAGATCTTTAATGTGCTTAGCTGCACGATCAATTAGGCTCCTTCCGGCACCACGACATGAGGGAGGCAGCTGGTGACTAGCTCGGTCTTCTCTCTGGCTGGTGTGTGCGGATAAGACCTACTCTGTGGCTGTATCCCTACTCTTCTCCCTTCTCCTCTTACTTATTTCCCTTACCTGAAGTTCCTGTATCCTTAAGCTAAGTACGGGGCATCAGTAAGTGTATCTACTCTGGTAGTAACGATTGGTGAGACCTGGGGACAGTATTTTGCCAGTGTTTTGTTTACCCTAAGTGTTGTGTTTTGTATTAGGGTCCCACGTGGTTTCACTACCCTAAGCTGCATCCAGCTTCAGTGCTTATCCAGTAGTACTTTACCCTAGCTTGTTATTAGTGTAAACCTTGTATCCTGCCTATGTGGACCAAGGCTTTTAACGTAAGATAGTGTAGTAAAGTTATTATTATTATTGTTATTGGTGTGAGTGTATATGGGGGGTTGTTAAGGGGTTAATAAATAAGTACATGAATTACAGAGTATCTCTTCTTCCACGGTGGGAGCGCAGTGATCAACCCTTAGACTAACATATATGGTCTTGTAGCAAGTTATTACTACTGTGGATAGTTTATTTTGGGGGCCGGGCCTTTTAGCTCTCCCATATTTGATACTCTTGTCTTCTAACTACCTTTATCCCTTAATAGTACCAGTACCCCATAGAAGCCCCACTCATATCAGTTGTAACAACCGCATAAATTTAAAAGTGGAACAACTGAGGGAGAAGCAGACTCTGGCACTCCAGGCAACTACTTTGCAAGGGTAGCCCCCAAAACTGACACCAACAATATGGGCTCTTAGGGTACCTGTAAGCCATTGAGCCCAAGCAACTTTGAAGCCTTAACCAGCAACTAGAGCTGCGAGGCCAAACATGAAGTAGACTTATGAGTGTCAAGTCCAATGGGCTTATTGAGAGTATATGCAAAGGAACACTAAGACTTAGCACATGTGCCTAATGCCAACACCAAAATCTTGAAATCCTCCTAAAAACTAAAGGATAATCTTCAAACTCTACACCGGCATCAGTCAACTCTACACCAGCAACTCTACAGTCAAGGGCTGTAACAGCCAAAACATAAGGTAAAGCTTGCAAATGAATCTCTGCCTGAATAGTTGTCACCCAAGAGGATGGTTAATCCAATATGCAAGATCAGTGATGACACATACAGTATTGCACTCCTAAGGATTAAAAAGCCCTTGACCTCAACAGGTGGAATGTTGGAAGCAGCTCGAGTGATAATGCGAGTCGAAAAACATGGAACACAACTTGGGAAGCTGGAAGCAGTCAGGCTGTGGACTGGGTAGGAAATTCAACACCCAACCAGCAGATACAAAGGTAAGCAACTTCCTTAAAGTACAGGAACCAGAATGTTTAGATTGACCAAGTTTTGGGTGACCATGCAAGGTGTAAGAGTATGCATTTATAGCTGGCAAGCTCAACCTGTTATACAATCAATGAGTGAGAGCATAAGTAGCCCCAGAAAGAATGGAAAATTATTTCCATAGAGGTGACTAACAAGCACAAACCCAGATAATGATAGAAAACTTTAGTTCTTGCATCAGCTGGTTCTGAACACAAAACACTAACAAATTACAGTACTTCACCTCCCACTCTCAATAAGTCTTCTCCTTTGGAAGCCAAGTATCAAAGCATTACTCGGGACAAGGGCCATTTAACGTAAGTCTTAATGAAAGAAAGTACCAGGAACGAGGAAAAAAAAATGAAGCAATGTAGATAGCAAAGGACACTGAAAATAGCACACACACTCACACTTGACAAATGTTTTAGGCATGTACCCTTAATGCTAGGTCACAAGTAAAAAAAGCCAGCACTAAAAATAATGAAATGCCAATTTCTGAGCATGCTCCGGTGGCTCCCTGAAGCTACCATGCTGATCTAGTGCCAAATTATAGGTGCCGTCAGTCGCGGAGTTCTGTTAAGCCTACCCGGGGCCACAAACCAGAACCTGGTCCCCTCTAAAGAAGTACAGAGGGCAGTGGCACTATGCTAAAAATGTCAGTGAATTTTAATGATGTCTGCCGCCACTGGGGAAGCACTGACCAAGTCAGTGAAACAAAACAGACCACTGCTCGTTATAAGGAAGATTGATGCCTCAACATTTCCAAGAGAACTCCCGCACAACAATGTAAACAAACAATTGAAAATTCACTGCATTTTGTACCCTCTATTTTGTTTAAGGTCTTCATTTTTACCAAACCCAAGGACCTGAAATTTATCACTGTTTAACATTGTTATTTTCTGCTGCCCAATCAAAACTTTATTATTATCAGCTTGTAGTTTTTCAATATCTTCTACAGAAGAAATTTTCATGCTGATTTTTGTGCCACCTGCAAAAGATGACACGAAGCTGTGACTTACTGTACACTCACAGCACCTCTACCACCTTATCTGTAGAGTTAAGGAGCTCCATGCATGCAAGGTCCTCTTTAATATACAAACCTACTCTTCCACGTGACCCATTTACTCTCACACCTACAGTACAGTATATAGATTATATTCTGGTACAGGTACTCGGATCTCACTGTCCGTGAATTATCTTGCATGGGTTTCTGTGAAAGCTCCAAATACTGTACTGCATTTGCCTCTGAGGAGGTCATTTATGAATGGTACTTTGTTTCTAGTCCTTGTATGTTGGCAAAGATGAATGAAATTACTCTATCTGGTGTATTTTGACTGGGAAATTTTTCAGGCAGGTCTTATGCATGGGCACATTGGATTTGTTCTGACCAGCACTAGTTGTTCCACTGCTGATGCCTGTAATAATTGTAGTTCTGTCGTGGGATGTAATTGTACCTATGACTGGTATGCAAATGATCTTTTAGCAAGTTCCAATTAACAAGGGTCCCATGGAAAAGGGTGTTTCATTACATTCAATACCTTATTTCTGGGAGGCCCCCCTCCCAGTAGCTCCTTGTTAACACACAGTGGTGTATCATCAGAGAATACCAGCACTTCTAAAAAAATGAAACTGGTAAACAGAAAAACAAAAAGTATCAGAAGAATATCAGCTGTGTTCGAAGTGCCAAAGCATAACATCCAATAAATTACTTGAGGCCAACTCACAGTGGATGGTATGCTGCACCGTGGATGGCGCACCACACCGTGGATGGCATAAAATACAACTCTGGTGGAGGAATTGAAGAACAACATTGCAATGCAACCAGTCAAAGATAAAGTTACACAGTCAACATTTCTTTCTTTAAGCATAAAGGTGAGACTGGGCCTTGTCAGAGGTTGTGTGGTCGCTATGCTGTGACCAGGAAGGCGAGTGAGAAGTCGGCTGACAAACTCCCATGTGCGAGCCCCTGACACCGAGTCGCATCACAAGGCGTTCACTCTGCAGCAATGATTATTTGACTTTTGGGTACCTAATTTTCTTCAGACAGTTCCTTTTTGGTTGCATTTATGGCTTCTGGTGAGTTTTCTCTTGGTTTTGGGGTGATCTGTGATCCCCAAGCACTCCTAGCCTCAGAGCCAGACTCGTCCTGACTTCCAGTGGGCAAGAGTGGGATTTGGAGGCCTGCTGGCTCTCCCTAAAGCATGGCTGGACCCCACTTAACTCGGAGTAGGTATAAACAACAAAATACTTAATTGTTTAGTGACAAATTATAGCTCATCAAATTATTTAACACAGTAAAAAACATTGAACTAAAAAATATTGTAAAGAAAAATAAAACAGGATTGTACCTGGTTCCAATGTCATTTAAATAATTAATAAATAATACAATTAATATGTAATAAATTATGTAATAAATTATAATTAATAATAAATAGTATAATAATAACAACTGATAATACAGTAAATAATAATGGAAAATAAATAATTGGCAAGACAATGCCACTTACTTATTATTGTTATAGAATTGTTGAGCCCGAGGTCCAATACTTAAACATTAGGTAAAGGTTATTGAGCGCTGGTTTTATCAAAACAAATGTTGACCGAGGAGCTGTGCACAATGGTCTACAGCCTCATCTCACAACAGAGGGAAAGGGATTTACTCCCTGGGCAAAACACAAACAGTTGGTAATGTTTCCTTTCACTTGGTGCCTCTGTTCACCTAGCAGTAAAATAGGTACCTGGGAGCTAGGCAACTGTTATGGGTTACATCCTGGAGGTCAGTAGATGGCCTAGGAAGAACTTGATAAGCCTAACTGGCTTCCTGTCCATGACAATGGGAATTGGTTTGCCTTTATTGTGGTAAAAATCCAAAACAATGACTTAAGATACATTTAGCTGTATATATACCTGCTATGATTTATGCTGGATGGTCTCATCTTATCCAAGACGACCTAATGACTATTCCACCATTCCTCAAAACTTGCCAGTAACCTGCCCCAGTTCTGGTATTTTGGATATTCCAGCACACGGGACTACAGTTACGGCACAACTGCCTATCACAGAATATCAAATCTGAGAGGCCCCAAAATGTTGTGTGTACAGCATCTAGTGGCTTTTTATAATAACAAATGACTTTACTCACTATGTAACCCCGTACTTATCCAATGTATTATATATTTATGAATAAATTAATTACTATTATTCTTATTCTCTGCATACTAACACTGTTCTGCATACAATACCTGGTAATATTCCCAAGGAGGTTTCTTTGGGGAAAATTCTTTTTTGACCCTCTTATATGTTCCAAGCAAATTGTTCCATTTGCGGCGTATTCTTTCTTGAGAGAAGTTGTACCCATGCATTGTCAGCTCTTCGTGTAACTCTTTGTATACCTGGGGCCTCGACCGGTTATTGGAAGCTAATTCTGAATAACGTTTCCTGATGCCTTCAATGAGAAGTAAAGTAGCTTCATTGCTAAACTCTACATCCTCTGTAGGAAAAATATGGAACATGAAAAATTGACAAATTAATGACAATGTATTACTGTACTTAATGTACCAGTTTCACAATAACAAATAATATGTTCAAGCTACAATTGCTGCTAATGTTAAAATGCACAAAAGACTGCCTGCAGACATGCCATCCCCACACTAGTACCAGAACTGATACGAAGGTCAACACATTTAAATTATATAACCATGAATTATTTCAAAACTGGCCTAATAACCACAATACTCTTCCACTGTAAAATAAATCCAAATAACCAATAGGATAATACAGTCATTGCCTGTCTATTTTTTCCATTTCTTAATCTATGTGACGAGTTAATGAGCAACGGTATCAGTCGTTAGCCAAGAAATTCCAGTACAGTACTTGCAAAATAATAAACTAACAAATATTAACCAGGCACTTTCCTTCTAAATCATACTGTCAATATTACTTGCAGCCATTCATCTTTTATAAAACCTTTCAGGTATTCAAATTGGTCAAGCACTACTTTCACACACTAATTAAATACATATACGTTCCTTCTCTCTCCACAAATACAACTTTACATTTGTCCACATTCACTTTTTGCAGTCTTGCCTCAAACATTAATAAAACTTTGATCACATGAATCTTTCTAATTCTTTGCTATAAAACTTGTATCACCCACATATATAAAATTAAACACACAGTAACTGCATCTATCACAGGCAGCAGAAGTTCACACATTTCTCTACTACAGGGATTCTTACCTTGACCCGTCCCCCCCTTCCCACTCCTGACCCTCATCCCCACTTTTTTTTTTAAGGGACTGGGGGGGGGAAGCGGGGGGGGTTGGGGGCCATTGTTAGGGATGGAAAGCCTGTTGCACAAACTACCGACTTTCCCCAGGGTACAACCCCCCCCCCCCCCCACCCAACAGTTAGCTCCCAGGTACCTATTTACTGCTAGGTGAACAAGGAGAATTTGTGTGGAACTTGAACCATTTAGAGATGGACACTGGCTAATCATTTCATTATAAATTATAAAATATATGAAATTCTTGTAATGTATTTTACACAAGTTGATAGAGAAAGTATATACGATGAAAGTAAAACATGTGTACACTACCAACAGCATCTCTATTACTCTGTAATATTCAACAATGAAAATTTTATGTACAGTACAGTATTAACAAAATGACTTGCCTCCAATGTATAATATATTTTAAATATAGTAAAGTACATAGAAGGTGTAGTGCAAGATGTTTATTACTACTATTATAATTAATTATAAGGTGAGCAGATAAAATGTAAAAGGTAATTAAAATATCTAGAGCTGATTAAGATATTTTGTGCCCTCTGTAATCCATTTGTGCTTCCACTCGTAGGATGAGTATTGGGTGCACAATAAACTAGCAACTCAACACCATGATTACCTGTGAACAAATAAACTTGTGAACTTGTTGTTTTGGATATCATGATTACAGAGTATGATATCCAAACCACAGAACAGAGAATGAAGAAACAAGACGGTTTCAGTTCGTCCTGAACCTTCATCAAGTCGCCCCATTACACAACTTGATAAGAGTCCAGGACAGACCAAAATGTCGTTTCTTTATTTTCTGGTGTGTGTGGTTTGGATGTCGTATCTTCGGCCACATTATTGTGACTCATCGACTGTATGATACAGAGAAATCATAAGTACACGTTGTAATTTACATAAAGCCACAAATATTCAAAGGGTTTTCAAAATGGGTTATAAATCACGCTGAGAAGACCTGTAGGTAGGAAGCAGCAGCAGCAACACTGGATGTGTGAAATGTTCCAGTGCCTTTAAAAGACCAACTCCAGTGTGAGGGGGATAAGACTGCTCCTCTGAGGGCTGACAAACTCTCCTGTCCATCTCAAAAATCCTGCAATTGGCACCATGCTGCACATCTCGATCAGCTCCATACAGGAACAATACTCTTCCATCCCTCTTTTTTTTTTTACCTTCGTCATATGCTTTCTTCAAGGCCACAAACCAATAATTAGTTTTTAATTTTGTCAGGGACACAAAACCTGTATATATATCTGTGTATGTATATGTGTATGCATGTTAAAAATGTTAAAAATAGAGAATGCTTAACGCATTTTCGGCTAATTCGCCTTCATCAGAGCAAAGTAGAATGAAGTACTTTGCTCTGATGAAGGCGAATTAGCCGAAAATTCGTTAGGCATTCTCTATTTTTCACATGTGGTTATTCTGCATATATGCATATGCATATATACACTTTACTATACTTTAGGCTTGCATCAAAGTTCCAGTAATGCTGAATTACTAACCCTCCTTAGGATGCAAACTTACAACAGTTGCCTAACTGCTGGGAACCTATTTACTGCTAGGCAACACATGTATTAGGTGAAAATAAACATGTCCAACCATTTCTGACCTGCCAGGAATCAAACCCGAGATCCCCGATTGAGAGTTGAGGGGGAAGCCAATTATACTACGAGCACCATATTCAGTATGCAGTATTGTATCCCACTTAATAAACATGGAAAATTAAACAAAATGACAAATTTAATAATTAACTTTGGTATGGGTTTATAACCTCATGGGTGAAAAAGCATCTCCTGTTTTGCCCTGCATTGTGACTTGTTGAGCTTGAAACCATTGTTCATTGTCCGAGTTACATCAGACTTTTTAAAGAAGTTGTCTGGATTAATATCCTTCAAATTTTCAGCATTTTAAAAGTTTCAACGAGATCAGCCCTATCATGCGTGGTCTACAGTGTTAGCCCGGTGGCCCTCAACAGTCCCTGAAATGAGTTAAATTAGTTCTGGTAGATTTTGTCCCCTTGTGTTAAACTTTTTCCAAAGTAACTATGTCTTCCTGAAGAAGGCTCCATACTGATACAAAAATCAAAGTTGGAAAGTACCAGAGATTTATACATCTGAATAACTACCTTCTGTTCCTTGAACTGGGTTAGTGTAGCAATGACTTACAGGTCAATAAATTCTCAGGTCTTAGAACTTATTCAGGGATACAGAAATTTAACCGAATTTACCAGAATGCCACTAACACATTAGTTGCCTCGACGAGGGCAGGAAGTCGGCGGCTCGTCAAAGGTCTCATTTCTCCCGATGCTTTTTCAAGTTGGAAACTAAACTCTGGAAGGTATGCCAGGTTACCGAGGCTAATCAACTTGCGTAATTAAGTAAACCCGGAGTGTCAGACCCATACCTTAACCAAATAATCAAAAGAACCAACAATAAACATACTCCGATGTAAGTCAATTACTTCAAAAGACTGTTTAGTAAGATTTTTTTATAATTACAATTGTTGCTCAAGTTTGTAACAAATTAATAACGACACAAAACACCATTGCCAGAAAGATCTTCCCTTCTCGGGCCAGTAAACGATCAGCTTCTCGTCGAGTTAACACGTATACGCGTAACTGTGGCACAGGAACGGTCGAGGGCCAACACCGCCACAAGCCAGGCAGGTCTAGGGGGGGGGGGGGGGGCGGATCTCATTGATACTCTTAAAATACTGAACACGTTAAAGGATGTTGAACCAGACAATTTCTTCTTCAGGTCAGATGTAACACCAACAAGGAGCAACGGTGTCAAGCTCTACAAGCCACAGTGTACCACTGACAACAGTGACAAGCCGCTTGCATCCTGTCCTCTTCCAGGCCATTAGACACACTGGCCCTCACGTCAATTCAGGAATGGTTTCGTGGGAGTAGTGATGGTGAGAGAGTAGTGATGGTGAGAGGAGTGATGGTGAGGGAGGAGTGATAGTGAGGGAGTAGTGATGGTGTGGGAGGAGTGATGGTGAGAGAGTAGTGATGGTGAGAGAGTAGTGATGGTGAGAGTAGTGATGGTAAGGGAGTGATAGTGAGGGAGGAGAGTGAGGCAACACGAGCTAAAGGCCTCACTCACCTTTCCTGCCTTGCTCGTCCACAGGGAAGGCGATGGCGTGGTTGCCGTCGCTCGACACCTCAATGGTCTGGAAGGCAGCTATCTCCCCAGTTTGAAAGGCCGCCATTCCCTCACCATCCTCCAGATTGGTGTTGATCAAATCCGACTCGAGTCGTTCCTGGAGCAGCCAAGGCCGCCGCCGCCGCCAGGGGCTCGAGATCTCGGAGCGCCTGCCCTGCTTCACTCTCCGACACCACGCTTCACCACCTCACTATATTAACTCCAAAATTATTGTAATTATATTTATTTATACGTAAGTCAATAATACTGTGTTATGATGGGTAATTATGAGTGTCTATGACCATGATATATTTATATATCGCTCTTCACTTGACATACTAAAGGTTCGGGACCAGTGAGCTAAGTTTCGAGACTTCATAAATGAAACAAATGCGCATTTGTCATCAAATTACATCAAAATCCTCATGAAATATTTACAACTGTTTTGATATACTATTATTTTCACATTATAAAAAATTGATATAAGAATTTTCTAATCATGGTTATAATAATTATTTATATATATAAACTTATATTTGACATGACTCCGATAACCGTTCGCAAAATCCATAGTTATGACCAAATCCTTAACAATCTACAAGCGTAAATGAAAATGATAATGATTAGAATTATCATAATGATAATGATTAGAATTATCATAATGATAATGTTTATTTAGGAAAAAGTACACACACATTCAAAATTAGTCACAAGAAGAATGTTGGGTGTCAAGCTAGAGCAAGAATATACTATTTCTTTCTTGTCTCAATAAACATACTTAAATTAAACTTGAACTTGAACCTAAAGTCACTAATACGTTGCCCTGTTATGAGTGACTTCACACCAAATGGTATGAGGTAGTGTGAGCTCCGTAATTACTTCACACAGTAATATTGGAAGGTATTCTTGTGCTGGACCCAGATTTTGCTAATGGAGGCAAATAGATCAGCCTTATATTTCTTGTTCTCTCCTGAAGATTTTTAGTCAGAGTTGATTTGTTTTTGTATTGAGGCTGATATTTGCTCCCCCTGCTGATTCCATGTATGACTAACCATCTTATGGGAATATTGGATTACCTTATAGCTAATTTAAGCTAACAGTAGTTTAGTTCATTTATTATGCACCCCATACCCATCTTGTGGGCGGTAGTGGAAAGGGTTACAGAGGCACATAATGGGCTCAGGGACTGAACACCACAATTCATTTAGCTAAGCAAGTTACAAGCTTTAGCTAACACACCTACTAACTAAGGTTTTTTTCCTCCCCCAGGAAGCAGCTCCGTAACAGCTGTCTAACTCCCAGGTACTTATTTACTGCTAGGTAACAGGGGCATCAGAGTGAAAGAAACTTTGCCCATTTGTTTCTGCCTGGTCCGGGAATCGAACCCAGGCCACAGAATTACGAGTCCTGCACACTGTCCGCTCAGCTACCAGACCCCCCTTAGGGTCTGTCTATGTAGGGGTGTATGTGCATGTGTATGTAGCTCCTGTGTGCGTGTGTATGTAGCTCCTGTGTGCGTGTGTATGTAGCTCCTGTGTGCGTGTGTATGTAGCTCCTGTGTGCATGTGTATGTAGCTCCTGTGTGCGTGTGTATGTAGCTCCTGTGTGCGTGTGTGTTTATGTAGCTCCTGTGTGCGTGTGTGTTTATGTAGCTCCTGTGTGTGTGTGTATGTAGCTTCTGTGTGCGTGTGTATGTAGCTCCTGTGTGCGTGTGTATGTAGCTCCTGTGTGAGTGTGTATGTAGCTCCTGTGTGCGTGTGTATGTAGCTCCTGTGCGCGTGTGTATGTAAGGGCGTGTGTGGGTGTGGAGGCGGTACACAGCCGTGAGAGTGTATGAGGGAGTGAGGGAGTGACAGTCACCTGAAGCCTCTGGGCCTGGCAGGTTGTGTATACACCTCCGTATAACACTATAGCCCTCAGTAACCCGTATAGTCTCGTATACTCCGTATATCCTTGTATAAACCAGTCGTTTATACCTGTATACACGCGAGCAGCTGCCCGCACCTCCACGACTCCTGGTCACATGGTCCCAGTAAGTGAAGCCTTTCTTGTTTGTGGTAGTGTGTACTGTGGTAGTGTGTGTACTGTGGTAGTGTGTGTACTGTGGTAGTGTGTGTACTGTGGTAGTGTGTGTACTGTGGTAGTGTGTGTACTGTGGTAGTGTGTGTACTGTGGTAGTGTGTGTACTGTGGTAGTGTGTGTACTGTGGTAGTGTGTGTACTGTGGTAGTGTGTGTACTGTGGTAGTGTGTGTACTGTGGTAGTGTGTGTACTGTGGTAGTGTGTGTACTGTGGTAGTGTGTGTACTGTGGTAGTGTGTGTACTGTGGTAGTGTGTGTACTGTGGTAGTGTGTGTACTGTGGTAGTGTGTGTACTGTGGTGTGTACTGTGTGTGTACTGTGGTAGTGTGTGTACTGTGGTAGTGTGTGTACTGTGGTAGTGTGTGTACTGTGGTAGTGTGTGTACTGTGGTAGTGTGTGTACTGTACTGTGGTAGTGTGTGTACTGTGGTAGTGTGTGTACTGTGGTAGTGTGTGTACTGTGGTAGTGTGTGTACTGTGGTAGTGTGTGTGGTACTGTGGTAGTGTGTGTACTGTGGTAGTGTGTGTACTGTGGTAGTGTAGTGTGTACTGTGGTAGTGTGTGTACTGTGGTAGTGTGTGTACTGTGGTAGTGTGTGTACTGTGGTAGTGTGTGTACTGTGGTAGTGTGTGTACTGTGGTAGTGTGTGTACTGTGGTAGTGTGTGTACTGTGGTAGTGTGACTGTGGTAGTGTGTACTGTGGTAGTGTGTGTACTGTGGTAGTGTGTGTACTGTGGTAGTGTGTGTAGTGTACTGTGGTGTGTAGTGTGGTAGTATGTGTACTGTGGTAGTGTACTGTGTGTACTGTGGTAGTGTGTGTACTGTGGTAGGTAGTGTACTGTGTGTACTGTGGTAGTGTGTGTACTGTGGTAGTGTGTGTACTGTGGTAGTGTACTGTGGTAGTGTGTACTGTAGTGTACTGTGTGTGTACTGTGGTAGTGTGTGTACTGTGGTAGTGTGTGTGGTGTGGTACTGTGTAGTGTGTACTGTAGTGTGTGTACTGTGGTAGTGTGTGTACTGTGGTAGTGTGTACTGTGGTAGTGTGTGTACTGTGGTAGTGTGTGTACTGTGGTAGTGTGTGTAGTGTGGTAGTATGTGTACTGTGGTAGTGTGTGAACTGTGGTAGTGTGTGTACTGTGGTAGTGTGTGTACTGTGGTAGTGTGTGTACTGTGGTAGTGTGTGTACTGTGGTAGTGTGTGTACTGTGGTAGTGTGTGTACTGTGGTAGTGTGTGTACTGTGGTAGTGTGTGTACTGTGGTAGTGTGTGTACTGTGGTAGTGTGTGTACTGTGGTAGTGTGTGTACTGTGGTAGTGTGTACTGTGGTAGTGTGTGTACTGTGGTAGTGTGTGTACTGTGGTAGTGTGCACTGTGGTAATGTGTGTACTGTGGTAGTGTGTGTACTGTGGTAGTGTGTGTACTGTGGTAGTGTGTGTACTGTGGTAGTGTGTGTACTGTGGTAGTGTGTGTACTGTGGTAGTGTGTGTACTGTGGTAGTGTGTGTAGTGTGGTAGTGTGTGTACTGTGGTAGTGTGTGTACTGTGGTAGTGTGTGTACTGTGGTAGTGTGTGTACTGTGGTAGTGTGTGTACTGTGGTAGTGTGTGTACTGTGGTAGTGTGTGTAGTGTGGTAGTGTGTGTAGTGTGGTAGTGTGTAGTGTGGTAGTGTGTGTACTGTGGTAGTGTGTGTACTGTGGTAGTGTGTAGTGTGGTAGTGTGTGTACTGTGGTAGTGTGTGCACTGTGGTAGTGTGTGTACTGTGGTAGTGTGTGTACTGTGGTAGTGTGTGTACTGTGGTAGTGTGTAGTGTGGTAGTGTGGTAGTGTGTAGTGTGGTAGTGTGTGTACTGTGGTAGTGTGTGTACTGTGGTAGTGTGTGTACTGTGGTAATGTGTGTACTGTGGTAGTGTAGGCAGTACTGATGCATTGTCACAACTACTTATATTGAACAATAAAATCTCGGCTATGTTTCTTCGTTATTCTGTGGACCATAACACGCCGTTATCATGACTAACGGCGCCACTGTGGACCATAACACGCCGTTATCATGACTAACGGCGCCACTGTGGACCATAACACGCCGTTATCATGACTAACGGCGCCACTGTGGACCATAACACGCCGTTATCATGACTAACGGCGCCACTGTGGACCATAACACGCCGTTATCATGACTAACGGCGCCACTGTGGACCATAACACGCCGTTATCATGACTAACGGCACCACTGTGGACCATAACACGCCGTTATCATGACTAAAGGCACCACTGTGGAACATAACACGCCGTTATCATGACTAACGGCGCCACTGTGGACCATAACACGCCGTTATCATGACTAACGGCGCCACTGTGGACCATAACACGCCGTTATCATGACTAACGGCGCCACTGTGGACCATAACACGCCGTTATCATGACTAACGGCACCACTGTGGAACATAACACGCCGTTATCATGACTAACGGCGCCACTGTGGAACATAACACGCCGTTATCATGACTAACGGCACCACTGTGGACCATAACACAGTGTTCACCACACACAGTGTTCACCACACACAGTGTTCACCACACACAGTGTTCACCACACACAGTGTTCACCACACACAGTGTCCATCACACACAGTGTTCACCACACACAGTGTCCATCACACACAGTGTTCACCACACACAGTGTTCACCACACACAGTGTTCACCACACACAGTGTTCACCACACACACAGTGTTCACCACACACAGTGTTCACCACACACAGTGTTCACCACACACACAGTGTTCACCACACACACAGTGTTCACCACACACAGTGTTCACCACACACACAGTGTTCACCACACACACAGTGTTCACCACACACAGTGTTCACCACACACACAGTGTTCACCACACACACAGTGTTCACCACACAGTGTTCACCACACAGTGTTCACCACACACACAGTGTTCACCACACACACAGTGTTCACCACACAGTGTTCACCACACACACAGTGTTCACCACACACAGTGTTCACCACACACAGTGTTCACCACACACACAGTGTTCACCACACACAGTGTTCACCACACTCAGTGTTCACCACACACACAGTGTTCACCACACACAGTGTTCACCACACACACAGTGTTCACCACACAGTGTTCACCACACAGTGTTCACCACACAGTGTTCACCACACAGTGTTCACCACACACAGTGTTCACCACACACACAGTGTTCACCACACACAGTGTTCACCACACACAGTGTTCACCACACACACAGTGTTCACCACACACACAGTGTTCACCACACACACAGTGTTCACCACACACAGTGTTCACCACACACAGTGTTCACCACACAGTGTTCACCACACACACAGTGTTCACCACACACACAGTGTTCACCACACACAGTGTTCACCACACACACAGTGTTCACCACACACACAGTGTTCACCACACAGTGTTCACCACACAGTGTTCACCACACACACAGTGTTCACCACACACACAGTGTTCACCACACAGTGTTCACCACACACACAGTGTTCACCACACACACAGTGTTCACCACACACAGTGTTCACCACACTCAGTGTTCACCACACACACAGTGTTCACCACACACAGTGTTCACCACACACACAGTGTTCACCACACAGTGTTCACCACACAGTGTTAACCACACAGTGTTCACCACACAGTGTTCACCACACACAGTGTTCACCACACACACAGTGTTCACCACACACAGTGTTCACCACACACAGTGTTCACCACACACACAGTGTTCACCACACACACAGTGTTCACCACACACACAGTGTTCACCACACACACAGTGTTCACCACACACAGTGTTCACCACACACACAGTGTTCACCACACACACAGTGTTCACCACACACACAGTGTTCACCACACAGTGTTCACCACACACACAGTGTTCACCACACACACAGTGTTCACCACACAGTGTTCACCACACACACAGTGTTCACCACACACACAGTGTTCACCACACACAGTGTTCACCACACACAGTGTTCACCACACAGTGTTCACCACACACACAGTGTTCACCACACACACAGTGTTCACCACACACAGTGTTCACCACTCCCCACAGCAGCAGCCGTAACTATAGTCTAGTGTATTTCAGCAGAGCAAGTTACAGCCCCGCTCCTGAGCCAGGTAAATCCACTACGGGGTCACCATAGCCCGTGCTACTTGCAACTTTTTGCTCCCAGTAGGTGAATCTGAGAGAACAACAACAACAACAACAACAAGATCAGCAGAGGGAGCAGTATGGGCGGGGCGGCGGCGGCGGTGGTGGTGGTGGCGGCGGTGGCGGCGGTGATGGCGGGGGCGGCCCGGGCCGACACCTGTGACCGGCGGGACCGGCGGACACACACAACAGCCTGGAAGGGTGACATAGGAGACCTTGAAGTGTTCCCAGGAGGCACGGTCAAGGACGGACTCCAGGTACGTGGCCCGGCTCTGTACAAGGCACTACGGGCTCACCATAGCCCGTGCTACTTGGAACTTTGTTCCAGGTAGCGAATCTTTAACAACAACAACTGCTCCCCCGCGTGTGTGACGTCCCCCCCCCCACACACAAGGCACTCATCACAAAGCTTCTATTAGGACAATATCTAACTCTGGCCCAGACAGCACTCGGTACCCTTACTCAAATCTCTGAATATGTTAGATATTAAGTCACTGCACATGCTCTCATGTGTATTATATATATTTAAAACTCTGAATTGTAATGTCAATCTTGACCTTAGAAGCTTCTTAGAAGGTTGTAACAGAACCCATGGGCACCACACCAGAAACAAATACCTGTTTGATATTCCAAGAGTACGACTTAATCAAACTAGAAATGCTCTACAAATCAAGGGACCCAGAATGTGGAATGACCTTCCCAATCATGTCAAAGGCTGTACCTCTATCAACCAGTTTAAGATGAAAATTTAGCACTACCTAATTAACTCCATGTAACCTACCTTACCCCCCTAAATGTCAACGCATGTCTTAATATTTTTAAACAATGCTGTTTGTTGACCAACTTGTATAACTACTGATTTCAGCCATATATATAAACTTGAAGAAAATTGTAGTCTTCTGTTTATTTAGGTAAAATTACTTCTGCTGTTCTGTTTCAATTTCTGCTGTTACATTCATCATGTAATTATCATAACTTTTTTTCCCCTTTTCAATTCAATTTATGCTCTGATCTTAATTAGTTTTAAGTTTTAGTCTCAGTGTTTCCCCCACACCTTGACCTGAACGCTGTGAGTATTAGTGGGTTTAGGCATTGTATGTACAGTACTAACACTCTCTCTACATCCAACATTATGTTTGTAACTCATAATGTATGTATGTACTTTTACCTGAATAAACATTTGTATATGTACAAGGTACGTAGCCAGGTCACCCCCCCCCACACCAGGTCCGAAGTGGAGGTGTACAGGTTCACACAGTGTGGAGGTGTACAGGTTCACACAGTGTGGAGGTGTACAGGTTCACACAGTGTGGAGGTGTACAGGTTCACACAGTGTGGAGGTGTACAGGTTCACACAGTGTGGAGGTGTACAGGTTCACACAGTGTGGAGGTGTACAGGTTCACACAGTGTGGAGGTGTACAGGTTCACACAGTGTGGAGGTGTACAGGTTCACACAGTGTGGAGGTGTACAGGTTCACACAGTGTGGAGGTGTACAGGTTCACACTGTGTGGAGGTGTACAGGTTCACACTGTGTGGAGGTGTACAGGTTCACACTGTGTGGAGGTGTACAGGTTCACACTGTGTGGAGGTGTACAGGTTCACACTGTGTGTAGGTGTACAGGTTCACACTGTGTGGAGGTGTACAGGTTCACACAGTGTGGAGGTGTACAGGTTCACACTGTGTGGAGGTGTACAGGTTCACACTGTGTGGAGGTGTACAGGTTCACACTGTGTGGAGGTGTACAGGTTCACACTGTGTGGAGGTGTACAGGTTCACACTGTGTGTAGGTGTACAGGTTCACACTGTGTGTAGGTGTACAGGTTCACACTGTGTGTAGGTGTACAGGTTCACACTGTGTGTAGGTGTACAGGTTCACACTGTGTGGAGGTGTACAGGTTCACACTGTGTGTAGGTGTACAGGTTCACACTGTGTGTAGGTGTACAGGTTCACACTGTGTGGAGGTGTACAGGTTCACACAGTGTGGAGGTGTACACACAGTGTGGAGGTGTACACACAGTGTGGAGGTGTACACACAGTGTGGAGGTGTACACACAGTGTGGAGGTGTACACACAGTGTGGAGGTGTACACACAGTGTGGAGGTGTACACACAGTGTGGAGATGTACACACAGTGTGGAGGTGTACACACAGTGTGGAGGTGTACACACAGTGTGGAGGTGTACACACAGTGTGGAGATGTACACACAGTGTGGAGGTGTACAGGTTCACACAGTGTAGTGGTCCACAGGTTCGACACCCTCGGGTGCGGAGGTTCATCAGCTTCCCGACGGGCTCAGTGTTCAGCGTCATCCCCAAGTTCATCATACCGTTCTACAGCAGGTTCGATGGTTATATTGGTACGTGGCGCCAGCAGTGTCGTCTGTCGCACCTGCACCTTGCATGCCCTTGTTTTACACCCACCTACACCCACTCTACGGGCTCACCATAGCCCGTGTTACTTGCAACTTTTTGTTCCAGGTAGCGAATCTTTAACAACACCCACCTACACCCACTGTGCAACTCTCTATACGTGCTACACCACTTAAACATATAACACAACCTTCCTAAACTCACTTGTATACGCTCCCATCCGTAAAGTAATGTAAAGTATGAAGCATAAAGTATATTAGTAAAGTTAGCCCCCCATATACACCTATACTTAAGCCTCGCTCTCTTATATGTTTAACTCATAACTGCTTAACCGCTGACACCCACACCGCAGAAGATTCAGCGGTATGCCACGAGGCTCGTCCCGGAACTGAGAGGTATGAGCTAAGAGGAAAGGCTAAAGGAGCTGAACCTCAAGTCCCTGGAAAACAGAAGAGTAAGGGGAGACATGATAACCACCTACAAAATTCTCAGAGGAATTGACAGGGTGGACAAAGACAAACTCTTCAGCACGGGTGGGACACGAACAAGGGGACACAGGTGGAAACTGCATTAGGAAGTGATGTGGTGGAGGCTGACTCCATACACAGTTTCTGAGTATGATAGGGCCCAGTAGGCTCAAGAATTTGTACACAAGTCGATTGACGGTTGAGAGGCGGGACTAAAGAGCCAGAGCTCAACCCCAGCAAGCACAACTAGGTGAGTACAGTTAGGTAGGTGAGCGCGCGCACACACACACACACACACACACACACACACACACACACACACACACACACACACACACACACACACACACACACACACACACACACACACACACACACACACACACACACACACACACACAGGCAGTAAGGTAGTGTGGTGACACAGGCCGCCACCACTCCCACACCTCACAGGAACACGCACTAAATACTTTCACTAACTCAAAATACATATACAAAATACATCCCCGGAGGCTGATGTATTTCTGGTCATTGTGGCAGTAGTGTGGAAGCCGCCCCCCCCCCCTCCCTCCCCCCCTCCACTCACTGGACTCTTAAGCTCATCATGGTGCAGTCGGTGGTGCGTGTGCCTGGGAAGGCAAGAGATGGGGGTTCGATCCCATTGTACAGTCTAAGACATAAATGCCAAAACACTGTTGAATTTTATAATCCACCTCATGTAAACATCTGCCCAAAATTTTAGGTACCTTTGACAAGCCGACGGCTTCCCGTCCTCGTCGAGGCCACTAGAGAGATAGCGGCTCTCAGATAAACTCAGGTAAAATTCAGGTACGGCCTCAATTACTTGATTACAACTTCATGGAACTAAAATAAGGACATTTTCCGCAATAGTGGGAAGCCAACTGTACTCGGTGGTGCTGGACCTGAGGCTCCCTAACTCTACCCTGATGCTGAGGCCGCGGCGCCCTGAGGGCCAGGTGGCGGGCGCGACCTGGGGCGCCCCGCACTACGCCGCCCACGCCACCTACCGCGCCGCCCACGCCACCACAGGCGCCGCTCTCGACCACAACAGGATGGCGGGCTTCACCTTCCTGCAGCAAATGATGGACAGGTGAGTTGATTTTTGGAAGGTATGATGGGAGTGTAGTCATGAGGCGGGGCGCCGGGGAGTGATGGGAGGAGGTGGGGGAAGGGGTGAGCTGAGAGGCATGAGTGACACTGTAAGAATGTTGTCGTTTGTTGAAGATCTCTTGTTCCATGCCAGGCATCTGTCCAGCCACTCCCAGTCATGGACTCATCTAACCATTAACAGTCATGGACTCATCCAACCATTAACAGTCATGGACTCATCCAACCATTAACAGTCATGGACTCATTCAACCATTAACAGTCATGGACTCATCCAACCATTAACAGTCATGGACTCATCCAACCATTAACAGTCATGGACTCATCCAACAATTCATCCAGTTGTATACTTATGTCCCTCTTACTCTGTCTTTCTAAAGAATATAAACAAAGATATCTTAGGAGTTAGTGAGACGTCTGTTGTGGTGTACTGTATCTAAGACATTCTGGCAGTTAGGAGGAACACCACCCATCGTTCTCTCGTGTCTGGATTTGATTACTGTTGCAATGTTCTGTTTCCTGAGACACCACCATCAACCTGTAATGTAAATTTGTAAATTTGTTCATTTAACCTGTAATGTCTTAGTTTCCTAGTATATTCTTGCAGGTCGGCGTTCAATCCCCGACCGTCCAAGTGGTTGGACACCATTCCTTTCCCTCGTCCTATCCTAAATCCTTATCCTGACCCCTTCCCAGTGCTATATAGTGGTAATGGCTTGACGCTTTCCCCTGATAATTCCCTCCCTCTCTCCTGTCCTACTTCTCTATAATACCCAGTTTTAAAGCTATGAATAGTGTTTGCTTCCACAATGTGCTCATTTAGTTCATTCCATTTCCCCACTACTCTCACGCTAAAAGATAACTTCCTAACATCTCTGTGACTCATCATAGAGATGAAGCAGAACGAGGGGACACCCATGTCCCCTCGTTCTGCTGGTATTCCGTGTGAACATTTCGTCTATTTCCACTCTGTCAATTCCCCCAAGTATTTTATATGCTGCTATTATAGCTCCCCGCTCCCTCCTTTTTTTCTAATGTCGTCAGGTTCAGTTCCTTCAGTCACTCTTCATATCCCATCCCATGCAACTCCGGGACTAGCCTCGTCGCAAATGTTTTATCCTTTTCCAGTTTCCTAATGTGTTTCACGATGGGGCTGCATACTCTAAGACTGGTCTCACGTAGGCAGTGTAAAGCGCTCTAAATGCCTTCTTACTTAGGTTTTGAATGACGTTCTAACTTTTGCCAGTGTTACGCTGCTGTCGATATCCTATTTATATGTGCCTCAGGAGTTAGATTTGCTGTTACGTCCACCCCCAGGTCTCTTTCTCGAACCGTCACAGGTAGGCAGTTCCCCTTCATTGTGTACTGTCCCTTTGGTCTCCTGTTACCTGGTCCATTTCCATAACTTTACAATTGCTCGTGTTGAACTCCAGTAGCCATTTCTCTGACCATCTCTGCAACCTGTTCAGGTCCTCTTGGAGGATCCTACAATCCTCATCTGTCACAACTCTTCTCATTAATTTCGCGTCATCCGCGAACATCGACATGTAGGACCCGACTCCTGTAGACTTGTCGTTAACGTATATTAGAAATAGAACTGGTCCCAGCACCGATCCTTGAGGTACTCCACTCGATACTGTTCGCCAGTCCGACTTCTCGCCCCTGACTGTTACTCTCTGGCTCCTTCCTGTTAGGTAGTACCTTAGCCAAGCTAGGGCTTTTCCGCTTACTCCCGCCTGCCTCTCAAGTGTGAATAGCAGTCTAATGTGCGGCACTGTGTGAAACGCTTTTTGGCAGTTCAGAAATATGCAGTCAGCCCCTCCTTCTCTGTCTTCCCTTATTCTTGTTGCTTTATCATAGAATTCCAGGTTTGTTAGGCACGATTTTCCTTCTCTGAACCCATGTTGGTGTTTGTTTACATACCTAATGTTCTCCAGGTGTGTAACCAGTCTTGACCTGAATATTCTTTCAAGTACTTTACAGGGAAAGCTTGTCAGTGATTCGGGTCTGTAGTTAAGTGCCTCCTCCCTATCTTCTTTCTTGGAGATCGGTAATTTTGCAACTGGGTAATTCTCCCGACTAAAGTGACTCATTAAAGATCATTGCCAGAGGCACGCTGAGAGCCTGTGCTGCCTCTTTTAGTATCCACGGTGATACTTTGTCTGATCCAACTGCTTTAGTTGCCTCCAGTGTTGTCAACTGTTTCATCACCTCCTCTGCTGTCACCTCTATATCTGATAGTCTTTCATCTAGGGTAATCTCTTCCAACAATGGGAGCAGCTCAGGCTCGGTTGTGAACACTCCATGGAAACTGGCATTCAGTGCCTCACAGATTTCCTTATCACTTTCTGTATATGCCCCCTCTGTCTTCCTTAGTCTAGTCACTTGGTCATTTACCGACATCTTCCTGCTTATATGGCTATGTAGTAATTTAGGTTGTTTTTTCGCTTTCATCACAATAGCATTCTCATAATTTCTTTCCGATACTCTTCATATGTTAATGTAATCATTCCTAGCTCTGTTGCACCTGATCCTGTTGTCCTCTGTCCTTTGTCTTCTGTACTTCCTCCACTCCCGCCTGCTGGCCACTTTTCCTTCCTGACACTGTCTATTAAACCATGGATATTCCCTCTTATTTTTTCCCTTTACTGTTGACATAAATCTCTCTTCGGCCTCCTGGCATTTCCGTATGACTAGGTCCATCATATCTTGCACTGTTTTTCCTCTAATTTCTTCCTCCCACTGCACTTCTCCCAGATAGTCCCTTATCCTTCTGTAGTCCCCTTTCCTGTAATCAACTCTCCTTTCCCAGACCTCTTGTCCTCTGGTCACAATTTTAAGTTCCATCATGTAGTCAAAGACTAGGACACAATGGTCACTGGCTCCTAGTGGTATTTCATGTTCCAAATTCTCGATGTCTTCTACATTCTGGGTGAAAATCAGGTCTAATAGGCTCGGTGCATCTCCTCCTCTTTCCCTTGTGTCTTCCTTCACATGTTGCGTTAGGAAATTCCTGTCTATAACGTCTACTATCTTTGCTGCCCACGTTTCGTCCCCCTCCATGGGGATTCCTTGACTCCCAATTTACCTCTCCATGATTTAGGTCCCCCATGACCAGCAGTTTCGCTCTCATTCTGTGAGGTAATGTTGCTGCCTTCTGCAGTTCATCATACTCCTGCCTCTGTGTGTGTATTCACCTAGTTGTGCTTGCGGGGGTTGAGCTCTGGCTCTTTCGGCCCGCCTCTCAATTGTCAATCAACTGGTGTACAGATTCCTGAGCCTATTGGGCTCTATCATATCTACATTTGAAACTGTGTATGGAGTCAGCCTCCACCACATCACTGCCTAATGCATTCCACCCATGTGTGTGTGTGTGTGTGTGTGTGTGTGTGTGTGTGTGTGTGTGTGTGTGTGTGTGTGTGTGTGTGTGTGTGTGTAATTACCTAAGTGTAATTACCTAAGTGTAATTACCTAAGTGTAGTTACAGGATGAGAGCTACGCTCGTGGTGTCCCGTCTTCCCAGCACTCTTTGTCATATAACGCTTTGAAACTACTGACGGTCTTGGCCTCCACCACCTTCTCACCTAACTTGTTCCAACCGTCTACCACTCTATTTGCGAAAGTGAATTTTCTTATATTTCTTCGGCATCTGTGTTTAGCTAGTTTATATCTATGACCTCTTGTTCTTAAAGTTCCAGGTCTCAGGAAATCTTCCCTATCGATTTTATCAATTCCTGTTACTATTTTGTATGTAGTGATCATATCACCTCTTTTTCTTCTGTCTTCCAGTTTTGGCATATTTAATGCCTCTAACCTCTCCTCGTAGCTCTTGCCCTTCAGTTCTGGGAGCCACTTAGTAGCATGTCTTTGCACCTTTTCCAGTTTGTTGATGTGCTTCTTAAGATATGGGCACCACACAACCGCTGCATATTCTAGCTTTGGCCTAACAAAAGTCGTGAACAATTTCTTTAGTATATTGCCATCCATGTATTTAAAAGCAATTCTGAGGTTAGAAAGCGTGGCATAGGCTCCTCGCACAATATTCTTTATGTGGTCCTCAGGTGATAGTTTTCTATCTAGAACCACTAGAGAGTGTGTGTGTGTGTGTGTGTGTGTATGTGTGTGTGTGTGTGTGTGTGTGTGTGTGTGTGTGTGTGTGTGTGTGTGTGCTAGCATGTGTGTACTGACCTGTAGTGTTGGTGCAGTGTTGGACTGGAGGGTCGAGCCTGCGTGCTGAGGGCGGTGTGTGAGGTGGCCGAGGACCCCGTCACCGACCTGGGCCTCATGGGCGAGATTGTCAACATGTTCTTCAGGTGAGTCCTCCCTCACGCCTCACGCCTCACACCTCACGCCTCACGCCTCACACCTCACACCTCACACCTCACACCTCACACCTCACACCTCACACCTCACACCTCACACCTCACGCCTCACACCTCACACCTCACACCTCACTCCTCACACCTCACACCTCACACCTCACACCTCACACCTCACACCTCACTACACGAAGATAACTCATCTCACACTTTTATATATATTAAGAGACCGACCCTTTAAAATCGAGATAGACTAAGAGAAGTACTCATAAATGTATGAGGATAACAGCAAGTGTCTTATGTTACCAATAATAACAATTAATTACAATACTAATACTAATAATAATTATATAAAAGTTATTAATGTTGTTTAGTTGATTGTAGACATTCACGTAATGTTTCAGAAACCTTTCACTGAAGTGTAGTTCTAACCAGCATTATTATTATTATTCCCTTTATTTCTATTGTCTTACTGATGGGTGAGCAGTGCAGGGTACGGGAGCCGGGCCCGGGAGCTAGAGGACTACATCGCGGCGGAGGAGTCTGGTCGGAGGGAAGGGGGTTGTGAGGCTCAGTACCCGGCGTGCCCCTGCTCCCTGCTGGACGTGTTCACCTCCGTCTCCTCCTTCTTCCACCGCGGCCTGGCTGGTGCTGGCGAGGCCGCCGCCCAGCACCTCTGACACACTCTCTCGCCCTCACAACCACACTCCACCTCTTATTATATACCATCTCTACCCTACCCTGAGCGACCTACGACAAGCCGCCGGCTTCTTGCCCTCGTCGAGGCCACTAGTGCTAGTGGACCTCGGGTAAAGCCCGTCTCGGTGGTACAGTGGCTGTCGTCTCAGGGTGCTTCTTGGGATGTGTATTCACCTAGTTGTGTTTGCTGGGCTTGAGCTTTGTTCTTTCGGCCCGCCTCTCAACTGTCAATCAACTGTTACTAATTACTACTAACAAATTGTTTTTCTGACACACACACACACACCCAGGAAGCAGCCCGTAACAGCTGTCTAAGTCCCAGGTACCTATTTACTGCTAGTTAACAGGGGCATCAGGGTGAAAGAAACTCTGCGCATTTTTGTTTCCGCCGGCGCCGGGAATCGAACCCCAGACCACAGGACTAAGTATTCAGCGTGCTGTCCACTCAGCCACCAGCGCCCCTGAACGATGTCTGTATGTCTGTTGACGTCATCATATACAAGAGTGTTTTCCAAACACCAATGATATTGAATTTTTGATTTATTAATTATTGAATTTTTGATTCATTGGCCAATTATTATCTTAGTCCTGAACACTACATTTTGTTAAAAATATTTAAATATATATTTATAGAGTTAAAAAAATTGTATTTTTAACCTAATACATGGGAGAATAAGGCTAGACTAGTATAAGACTAGTATAGGGAGTATAAGACAGACTACATTATTCTGCTAGTAAATGATGACACACGGGGGAGACATCTCCAGTCACGCAGGGTGCAGTCGCACCTCAACAGATCTCCAGTATCAGCTAATGATATTGGTAATGGCTCAAAAGGGCCACCACTTACGGGCTATTCATGCCCGTGCCACCTTTTGGGTGGCTTAATTTTGATCAATCAATCAATTTGATAATGCTAATATGTACTCTGCACTGTGGGGTAGAGAGGAGGAGAGTACAGCCCAGGGCTGTCTCCTCACTCTCTCACACTACACCGGGAGAGCAGAGAGCTGAGAACAACACCACCATTTGGTCACCACTTGGTCCGGGAGACATCTCCCGTCACGCAGGGTGCAGTTGCGCCTCCACAGATCTCCAGTATCATCTTTTGATACTGGTAATGGCTCAAAAGGGCCACCACTTACGGGCTATTCATGCCCGTGCCACCTCTTGGGTGGCTTAATCTTCATCAATCAATCTGAGAACAAGCACCAAGGCGCGGTGGATCAACATGGAGGGTTGACAGGAAAGGCACGAATAATTAGCCAGCTTAACTGTTGCAGTTGCTCATGTAATGGCTACGACGACAGTTGCTGTTGACGGCACTAGGACACACGCACTACAAGAACCACTACGACACAATTGACTGTGTATGAGTATAGCAACATTAATATTCCCAGATTACCTATCCAGCTGTTCCTTGATTTGTGCCGACGATATCGTGGCCAGCAGTGACCTCCCACTGTGTAAACATTGTGGCCAGCAGTGACCTCCCACTGTGTAAACATTGTGGCCAGCAGTGGCCTCCCACTGTGTAAACATTGTGGCCAGCAGTGACCTCCCACTGTGTAAACATTGTGGCCAGGAGTGGCCTCCCACTGTGTAAACATTGTGGCCAGCAGTGATCTCCCACTGTGTAAACATTGTGGCCAGCAGTGGCCTCCCACTGTGTAAACATCGTGGCCAGCAGTGATCTCCCACTGTGTAAACATTGTGGCCAGCAGTGACCTCCCACTGTGTAAACATCGTGGCCAGCAGTGACCTCCCACTGTGTAAACATTGTGGCCAGCAGTGACCTCCCACTGTGTAAACATCGTGGCCAGCAGTGACCTCCCACTGTGTAAACATTGTGGCCAGCAGTGACCTCCCACTGTGTAAACATTGTGGCTAGCAGTGGCCTCCCACTGTGTAAACATCGTGGCCAGGAGTGACCTCCCACTGTGTAAACATTGTGGCCAGCAGTGACCTCCCACTGTGTAAGCATCGTGGCCAGCAGTGACCTCCCACTGTGTAAACATCGTGGCCAGCAGTGACCTCCCACTGTGTAAGCATCGTGGCCAGCAGTGACCTCCCACTGTGTAAACATCGTGGCCAGCAGTGACCTCCCACTGTGTAAACATTGTGGCCAGCAGTGGCCTCCCACTGTGTAAACATCGTGGCCAGCAGTGACCTCCCACTGTGTAAACATCGTGGCCAGGAGTGACCTCCCACTGTGTAAACATCGTGGCCAGGAGTGACCTCCCACTGTGTAAACATCGTGGCCAGGAGTGACCTCCCACTGTGTAAACATTGTGGCCAGCAGTGACCTCCCACTGTGTAAACATCGTGGCCAGCAGTGACCTCCCACTGTGTAAACATCGTGGCCAGCAGTGACCTCCCACTGTGTAAACATCGTGGCCAGCAGTGACCTCCCACTGTGTAAACATCGTGGCCAGCAGTGGCCTCCCACTGTGTAAACATCGTGGCCAGCAGTGACCTCCCACTGTGTAAACATCGTGGCCAGCAGTGACCTCCCACTGTGTAAACATCGTGGCCAGCAGTGACCTCCCACTGTGTAAACATCGTGGCCAGCAGTGACCTCCCACTGTGTAAACATCGTGGCCAGCAGTGACCTCCCACTGTGTAAACATCGTGGCCAGCAGTGACCTCCCACTGTGTAAACATCGTGGCCAGCAGTGGCCTCCCACTGTGTAAACATCGTGGCCAGCAGTGACCTCCCACTGTGTAAACATCGTGGCCAGCAGTGGCCTCCCACTGTGTAAACATCGTGGCCAGCAGTGGCCTCCCACTGTGTAAACATCGTGGCCAGCAGTGACCTCCCACTGTGTAAACATCGTGGCCAGCAGTGGCCTCCCACTGTGTAAACATCGTGGCCAGCAGTGGCCTCCCACTGTGTAAACATCGTGGCCAGCAGTGACCTCCCACAGTGTAAACATCGTGGCCAGCAGTGGCCTCCCACTGTGTAAACATCGTGGCCAGCAGTGACCTCCCACTGTGTAAACATCGTGGCCAGCAGTGACCTCCCACTGTGTAAACATCGTGGCCAGCAGTGGCCTCCCACTGTGTAAACATCGTGGCCAGCAGTGACCTCCCACTGTGTAAACATCGTGGCCAGCAGTGACCTCCCACTGTGTAAACATCGTGGCCAGCAGTGACCTCCCACTGTGTAAACATCGTGGCCAGAAGTGACCTCCCACTGTGTAAACATCGTGGCCAGCAGTGACCTCCCACTGTGTAAACATCGTGGCCAGCAGTGGCCTCCCACTGTGTAAACATCGTGGCCAGCAGTGACCTCCCACTGTGTAAACATCGTGGCCAGCAGTGGCCTCCCAATGTGTAAACATCGTGGCCAGCAGTGACCTCCCACTGTGTAAACATCGTGGCCAGCAGTGACCTCCCACTGTGTAAACATCGTGGCCAGCAGTGGCCTCCCACTGTGTAAACATCGTGGCCAGCAGTGACCTCCCACTGTGTAAACATCGTGGCCAGCAGTGACCTCCCACTGTGTAAACATCGTGGCCAGCAGTGACCTCCCACTGTGTAAACATCGTGGCCAGCAGTGGCCTCCCACTGTGTAAACATCGTGGCCAGCAGTGACCTCCCACTGTGTAAACATTGTGGCCAGCAGTGACCTCCCACTGTGTAAACATCGTGGCCAGCAGTGGCCTCCCACTGTGTAAACATCGTGGCCAGCAGTGACCTCCCACTGTGTAAACATCGTGGCCAGCAGTGGCCTCCCACTGTGTAAACATCGTGGCCAGCAGTGACCTCCCACTGTGTAAACATCGTGGCCAGCAGTGGCCTCCCACTGTGTAAACATCGTGGCCAGCAGTGACCTCCCACTGTGTAAACATCGTGGCCAGCAGTGACCTCCCACTGTGTAAACATCGAGGCCAGCAGTGGTCTCCCACTGTGTAAACATCGTGGCCAGCAGTGGCCTCCCACTGTGTAAACATCGTGGCCAGCAGTGACCTCCCACTGTGTAAACATCGTGGCCAGCAGTGACCTCCCACTGTGTAAACATCGTGGCCAGCAGTGGCCTCCCACTGTGTAAACATCGTGGCCAGCAGTGACCTCCCACTGTGTAAACATCGTGGCCAGCAGTGGCCTCCCACTGTGTAAACATCGTGGCCAGCAGTGACCTCCCACTGTGTAAACATCGTGGCCAGCAGTGACCTCCCAATGTGTAAACATCGTGGCCAGCAGTGGCCTCCCACTGTGTAAACATCGTGGCCAGCAGTGGCCTCCCACTGTGTAAACATCGTGGCCAGCAGTGACCTCCCACTGTGTAAACATCGTGGCCAGCAGTGGCCTCCCACTGTGTAAACATCGTGGCCAGCAGTGGCCTCCCACTGTGTAAACATCGTGGCCAGCAGTGGCCTCCCACTGTGTAAACATCGTGGCCAGCAGTGACCTCCCACTGTGTAAACATCGTGGCCAGCAGTGGCCTCCCACTGTGTAAACATCGTGGCCAGCAGTGGCCTCCCACTGTGTAAACATCGTGGCCAGCAGTGGCCTCCCACTGTGTAAACATCGTGGCCAGCAGTGGCCTCCCACTGTGTAAACATCGTGGCCAGCAGTGGCCTCCCACTGTGTAACATCGTGGCCAGCAGTGACCTCCCACTGTGTAAACATCGTGGCCAGCAGTGACCTCCCACTGTGTAAACATCGTGGCCAGCAGTGACCTCCCACTGTGTAAACATCGTGGCCAGCAGTGACCTCCCACTGTGTAAACATCGTGGCCAGCAGTGGCCTCCCACTGTGTAAACAAAACAATGGTGGTCTCACATGCGTGTGGCATCTCCCGCCCTCAACTTTCATGCCCTTGTGTATTGGTGTTAACTCTTCCCGCTTCTCATTTAGTGTAGTTTGGGTGTATCCAAGTTCTTCAGTGTAATTCGCTTTGCGAGGGGACAGGAAGCCTGTGTGTGTATCTGTACATAGTTTAGGCATGTTGTTGTTGTTGTTGATTTAGGGGCGACGACGATCGTGGGATCGGATGCGCCCCGGCGTACCCGTTAAGGGTGAATCGCGAAGCCAGGAAAGGTGAAACGCCAAGCCAAATCGCAAAACGAGTGACGCCAATCACTGGAAACTAATATGCCATACGGCAAATAAACGCACAGTCAGGCAGATGATTGGGGAGTCCCAGGAGTCCCTCAGGGTGACAAGCACCGGCCCCGCCCCACACAGAGAACACCAGGTAGCAAAACCAAAACTCGGCCCCCAACCAAAACGCAAAAGTCATCCAGTGTCCCCCGGCAGAGCAGAAGCTGGCCG